GTGGCATCGCATAGAATACATTTATTAATATCACCTTCGATCATACTGGGTCAATGATACATTTGCAAACTTACTGCGCTAAATCCAGCGTTCGATTCTCCGCGATAGTCAGAGAAACCAGCTCATTTCGTATCCTTGCGCTAAAATATACAATAACAGCATCTCTAGCTATACCAGTTTAGCTAAGTTGGTGTTAAGAAGATAATAAACCAATAGAGCTTTATTTGACTTTCGATAAGGAAAATGATTTGGTATACCTTTTATTTATACCCACCTCTCGGTACTTCTCATTTCAAATAATTGGTGGAGACTTTTAAAATATTTTTCGCAACTATAAGCTGATGTGACCTATACAATTAAGATAGATTCTGCCCCTGTAAACTGATGTGACCTATACAATTAAGATAGATTTTGTCCCTGTAAACTGATATCGCCTATACAGTTAAGATAATTTTTGCCTCTGTAAACTGATGTTACCTACACGATTAAGATAATTCTTGCCCCTGTAAACTGATGTCGCCTATACAGTTAAGATAGTTTTTGTTCCTATAAAGTATAAACTGATGTTGCCAACACGATTAAGATAATTCTTGCCTCTGTAAACTGATTTCGTCTATATAGTTAAGGTAGTTTTTGCCCCTGTATGATGAGTGCAGATTTTCCAGCACTTTTTGGCGCCAAAAATATAGGAATTCTTTTTCTATGAAATATCGGAGGTTTAGGCGAGTCAAATGTCGCAATTCAGAATGTTAGATAAATAGTCTATGGTTGCGTGTGCATATTTTGGGCATATATACGTACAAATAACAAAAGCAACAGTAAGTTTAACATCAATGAAATAAATGGCTTCTACCACCCCTTACAGCCATCACATCCCAGGATTTTACCACAAAATCAGATGAGTCTAAATAATTTTATAGTATACAAATATTTGCATATTTCCACTTTGACGAAACATAAAGTTTCAATCTTATTTCTTCAAGTTCGACAGTAGATGCTATTGGTTTAGCAGTAAACATATACATTTTGATTTTAAGGCCTTTATTATTTGTATGCTGAAGTAACGAGGCATTTCGGCAGTATCCACACTCAACTGGCAGCTGCAGAGGCTACAGTATGCTGTATACTGTTTGTTGCTGGGCTTGCACCAATCTCTGGATTTTGAAAGTAGTCTTCCCACCCGGCATTTTGGTCTACTAATATAGTATTATCTATAAAGCAAATAATTCACTATACCATCTTAAGATGAAGAGTGAGGTTAATAGTATTCACATATCACCTGCTGAATATTCCTTCATTATGGAATATCTTCCATAAAAAAGAAATTTCTACAGTCACATCATTATAATATGTTCCTAAAACAGTTCATGAGTTGAATAAATTTACTCATCACTGTAGATAACTACTTTGTTAAATACGTGTAGTGGCTGTAGAAATAACTTCTAATTTGTGAATAATGATTACCAGTACCGCATGCATCTAGCTTATCTACATCTTGCTATAACTAATATATGAGATAATTTGATACAAAATATTCTCATGTATTAGCATGTACATATATGCATATTCTGTTTTTGAGAGACTCTTTTAATTAAACCAGAGCAGGACCTGCAGTCTTGTTAAGAGTTTACTATCACAAAAAAAGGAGAAAATATTGTTTGTTTTTTAATTTCGCGCAAAGCTACACGAGGGCTATCTGATTTAGCCGTCCCTAATTTAGCAGTGTAAGACTAGAGAGAAGGCAACTAGTCATCACCACCCTCCGCCAACTCTTGGGCTACTCTTTTACCAACGAATAGTGGCATTGACCGTCACATTATAACGCCCCCGCGGCTGAAAGGGCAAGGATGTTTGGTGGGATGGGGATTAGAACCCGCGACCCTCAGATTGCGAGTCGAGCGTCCTAACCACCTGGCCATGCCGGGCCGGAGAAAATAGTCATCGTCAATTAACACATTAATTTTCAATTCTGAAGAAGTAAGAGGAGACGCTTCCTAAAATGAAATATTATTTTGAAATTCTAAACTAAATTTTTAATTAAATTTAAACATTATTCGGAAGGATAACCAGGCAGGCGTGCAAAAGATAAGCCGCCGATTGAATGCCGATAACGAGGAGTTTTTCATTTATTTTAATCAGAAAATAATCTTCAATTTCTCAGATTTTAGTCAACAAATTGTCCCCAGATCTCGGACACGAATCGTATCAAAGATCGTCATTCTAACACTTTCAATAAAACGCCATGAAAATGAGTTGCTACAAAAAAATCTTGCGCATCTCATATAAAGACCGTGTTACCAATGAAGAGGTCAGCAAGAAGATTCAACAAGCTATCAGACCATACGAAGGTATCTTGACCACTGTAAAAAAAAAAAAAACGCAAACTGAAGTGGTATGGTCACGTCTCACGGTCATCTGGCTTGGCAAAGACCATCTTGCAAGGCACCGTGAGAGGGAAAAGAAGAAGAGGCAGACAGAAGAAGAGGTGGGAAGACAACATCAAAGAGTGGACAGACCTGGAGTTCGTCAACTCCCAGAGGGCGGTGGAAAACCGGGAAACATGAAGAGATCTGGTTGAAAAGTCGTCAGTGGTGCCCCAACGACCCCGAGAGTTGAGGGACAAAGTGAGTGAAATGAAGTGATCTTTGTGGCATATTTTTGGACATATTAACGATCAGTTTTGATCTAACAAAGAGAAGAAATGGCGAGCTTTCAGCAGCTGTAAATGGTGGTAACTGGTGTTCACACTGCTATTGACATCAGCTCCTGGCCAAGAATAAACATTTTAATCAGGATTTGTTTTAAATTAAAATTTAATTTTTAAACTAATTTTACATTCAAACTTGATTTTAATAAATTTATAACTTAAAATTAAACTTAAATTTCTGAATTAAATTTAAATGCTAACATTCTGAATAAAATTTCAATAGGGATCTATATCCTGGTACATTATCAGTCTGTGGACTGTGATGAAGTCATCACAATAGACATTGTCTCCCATTGTCTTTGTTTTTTATCAGTCTTTCTTCTCCATTGGGATTCGATCCATATTTTAGACCAGGGAGGGTCAAGTTCAGCGTTGCCCTCTTCCTCCCATTTTTTATCAATTTTTTTCGCATTTTCTCATCATCGGTGTTGAGGTCTCATAGACCTGGGAGGGTCAAGTGTATATGACCTCTTCCTCCTATGCAGTAAATTTGAAGGGTTTAACTTTAAGGGCATGCTTCAAGTTCATGAATATTTAAATTATGGGGGTCTATTTTTAACTTTTGTCTTTAAGATTAGTTTCGTGGGTTGAACAGCCTATTTAGACCAACACAGTCCGTTTGTTATCTTTAATTTTAAACTGTATATGTTTAAAATCGGGACGTCTGGTAATCCTAGTACATATATATTTACGTATAAAACAAGAAGGACTCAACTCTATCAACTTAACAAATTTTGGTCCACTAAACACACAACGTAATAGGTAATTCATTAAACCTATGTTTTCTAATTCTACCTAAAGCTCTCTTTTTATCAGACTGTGTACCTTCTTCAGAAATTGGAGTTCGCGCCAATTCCAAGCTAATCGCGTGATTCTGGTCACCAATACTCTAGTCGATTTTTACCCGGGGACAGGTAACGTGCGCGTTGTTTAAACGGATACATTAGAGACTGTGGCAACGCGAGCATTTTGGTTTTGCCCTTATGAGATGAAGTGACTTGTACAGTTAAGGTAGTTTTGCCCTTGTGAAACGAAGTGACTTATACAGTTAAGGTAGTTTTTGCCCTTGTGAAACGAAGTGACTTGTACAGTTAAGGTAGTTGTTGCCCTTGTGAAACGAAGTGACTTATACAGTTAAGGTAGTTTTTGCTCTTGTGAAACGAAGTGACTTATACAGTTAAGGTAGTTTTTGTATTTGTAAACTGATGTGACCTATATAGCTAAGAAAATTTGGTCTCTGTAAGCTGAAGTGACCTACACGGTTAAGATAGTTTATGCCCACGTAAGTTGATCTGACCTATACAGTTATGATAGTTCTTGCCCTTTCAAGCTGAAGTGACATAAACAGTTAAGAAAATTTTGCACCTATAAGCTAAAGTGACCAAAACTGTTAAGATAATTCTTGCCCCCTGTAAGCTGAAGTAACCTATACAGTTAACGTTCTTTTCCCGATCCGAAGGTTGTCAGCTGTAACATGATCGGTATTTTTCCTTTTACTAGACTATCTGGAAATTATAATTATTTTTAACGTATTAAGTCCATGATCACCTTATTATGGTTAATTCAAACAACAAAGATAATCCATTACAATTATTCAATTTGCGTTTCGTTTTACATATAGGATATGTTCTTGTCATAAATTTTACTTGCAATCAGTCCAAACAAAAATACAACAGCTCTTCCGGATGTTGGTTCTGGGAAAGTATCAAACTAATATATTTTATATCATATTAATCCAATTACTAATGCCTTATTATTCTAAAAGGTTTAATCATATTCACGTGTACTTGGAGAGATGGTTAGCTTTTAATTAAATAACGATTTTTTAATTCTTGAAACTGACCTAAGTGCCAAGATGATCATTAAGTTAAAATACTTTATTGGGGACTACTTTATTGGAACATACTAGGCAGTCTTTCAATTTCTCATAAACTTTGTGCAGTGACTTAACTAATGAATTTTGTAATTATCACATGTTTCAGAACATCTGCAATAAATAAAAGTAATGAAGATACACTCAACTGCATTTTTATAAAACATATTCACACAATATGCAAATCTAACAAATATATATATGTGTGTGTGTGTGATGGATCTGCATATTTGTTTTAAAAATACATTATAAATTAACATATCATTGTATATAATTAAGAAAAACCAGCATGATTTGCATACAGATGACTCAAATGTAAGAAATATTATTATTTACATAAAAGAATGCAAAAAATATATAAAATACTTTCAGAATAGTTTTGAATGTATCTTAAAATAAACGAATCGGACTGTATATATATATATTATTTAATAACATTTTTATTCCTTATATATTCAAGCTATCAAAGCAAATACAATTACAGACTATTTGAAAACATGACTATTTTCATGAACAAATATACACAGAAACATAAGTTGAAGAATAAACACATATGTATTGTAATAGCTTTCCCATCCAGATGACACTCCACTAATTACATGTTTGAGGAAAGTTAAATGTTCCAGTATAATAATAAAACTGGAGTACGATTTCTATAATCGAACATTCTACAAAAATATGTGAAAAATTTCAACGAGAAGAGGAAATACATAAGTAGCCAAAGATTAAAATTTCATTGAGAAAATTTAAAACCAACAATTTAAAAACTGTCATTTATATTTCTTGATGTGTCGCATTATTATTTTATAACATTTTTTATTTTATTTTATAACATTTTTCTTCAAGTTGTAATTAATCTTCTTATTGGAACCATTTCTAAGATTTTTTTTTATTACTTTCTTTACATTAGGCTCCAATAATAGAAAGATTAATGATATTGATTCAGTTCTGGTAATTTTATATTAATACCACTAACACATGACACAAATCAGAAACGATGTTCAAAACGTAAAAAAATTCATACTAATCAGCTTAAAGCTTTAGCTTGTAAATAAGGTTTCAATACCAGATTGAATGAGGTAATGTTTATCTAAAGCACCACTACAGCACCTAAAGAACTCTGCCAATCACAACTGAAACAACTGATAGTGTGTGAAAATATATATAAAATATTGCAAAATTTATCAGTATTGTATTCTCAAGTACATTAATTAACAATAAACAATACACATCCAAAAACATACTTTGAAAAATGCTTGACAATTTGAAAGCAATAACACTTCATATTTAATAAGAAAAGCCACTGACAAAAGCCATCTTTAACAATCTGTAAAACATTGCAAACACATTTAAACAAAATCATTATGGTTGTACAGATAAGGATTACTAAAAATTAGGTTTTTAGTTAAAATAAAATTGTAGTTAGTGAAGTAAAAATAGTTTCTTAAATGTGTGCTGATTAAAATTAAGTACATCAGCCACCAAAAAAATTTAATATTTTGAAATTTGTTTCATATTCTTTAGTACATTAGGAAAAATGTCAAAAACAAATTAGTTTATTATTAAAAAGGCAAGAATAAATACTACTAAGTATAAAAACAAATTACGGAAACATCATTTTGTTCTTTGTTCATAGTCTAAACAGTTCATTACAAAAATATTCAGATAACTTTCAATCAGGATTTTCACTACAATGATTACTATAATATTATTTGTCAATAGCAAAAATTATAATTTTTTTAAGCTGACTGAAAGAGGACGGAAAACTTGAAAACTTTCACACTTGTCACAGATCATCATTAGGTTTATGAAAAATAACCTTTTTTACAATAATAACTTGAAATTGTAATGAAAATAAGTTAACTGAGTAAATTAGTCTGTATCATTGAGTAACCAAGCTGGTGGCTTATTACTTAGGCCTAACATTTGTTATTTCTTTTTTTTTTGCTTTCATAACTTTCAAAAGAAAAATCATTATTTTTAATTAACAGTTTCATCTACACTGAAATTTTTGGACATATAAATGAAAACAATAAAAAGTAAAACTTACAATGAATATTTATGCACAGTAAAAATATAAAAAAAATAAGTCTTTTTTTTTTTTTACTACAGAAAAAAAATTGTACATCCAGCAAAAAAGATCTGTGACAAAAATAAGAGAAGTTTTATTGAAATTTATATCTGTATACATTTAGTATCCAGGAAAGCATTCTATGCAATAGTTACTTGTGTAAAGAAGCAATTGTAGCAAGGGCACTAAACCAAACGTTTTATATACGTGATCAAAACTAAATGAAGCTATGAATAATGACATGATAACATTACAATGTTAGCACATCAAGTAAAATATGTAATTGTTAAAAAAAAAAATTTATTATGCTTAGATTAAAATATCAAGTCACAAAAAAGATGAAGGCTAACATCTGGTTAAACAACAATGAATGCAATCCTTATTTATGAATCTTTTTGCTGAACTATAAATGTTTTCCTCATTAGTACTGACAATGAGGAGAAAGCATCGCTGACTAAGGTTAAATACTTCATACATTATACATCATAATGAAAACTGGTTTCTATAAGTTTATAACATGAAGTTAAAAAATACAGGAAGACCCCACTTTAAGCTGATTCAATATAGAGCTCTAGTCTCCTTGAGAGATGTTTTTATTTTTACACAAGAAAAAAAAATTATTAAAATCCATAACTCTCTGAACACTACTTTTTCATACTAATGGTAGTAGTGCATTAAATAATTTTTATTTATTAACATAATGCAAAAAGAACATACAATAACAATATGCAAAAATCAGACAATGTCCTGTAACTATCAAAAATTTTCTGGCGTTTCTAGCGATGCCACATGAACCGTTAAAACGTCATCCATCTACACGATATCTTCCCATGGGAAAAAACATTTTCTTAGGAAGTGATCTACAAAGTTCTGTACAGAAAACAACGTAATATAATACGTCATTTGATAGATAAAAAATTTTGACAGGCTATTGGTTATAACTAATATAGTCGTAAACATAAGAAAGAACTACATGTACTGAGAGATCCTAAAGAGAGGATGGGACAGGTGAGCATGGCAGGAGGGGTTTGATTTTCTGTAACCAAACAAGACTGAAGGCTAATAAAAATTTGCCTTTTCCATAGATGACTATATGATAGTGAGTAATTTACGTTAACTTTATCAGTACCTAAATTAAACATTTATACATCATTCGCAGGTAAGAAACAATGCATTCAGTTACATATCTCTATATATGTAATGTTAAAATGAACCTGTTTAGAGCTGATTTGTTTAGTGCTATACAGAGTATTACTGTGTTGACAAGTTTAATTACAAAATGTTTTCCTTAATTTTAGCATTTTACTTTTTACAAAATAAATCAGTGATTGATTGATAAAACATTGTGAAATATTTGCCACTGTGAACTTCACCATCTAGGAAAAATGGATGTTTTATTGAATTTCACCATCATTAACCATAGTTTATTTTAATAGCCATGAAGACAGATTGAATTTCACCATCATTAACCATAGTTTATTTTAATAGCCATGAAGACAGATTGAATTTCACCATCATTAACCATAGTTTATTTTTAATAGCCATGAAGACAGATTGAATTTCACCATCATTAACCATAGTTTATTTTATACATAATTAATAGCCATGAAGACAGATGAATTTTCATTACAAACGAGGGTTTTATTTAAAAAAAAACACTTAAATATCTTTATCTTAATTTGAAATAGCTTTAAATTATTTAGTACTTCATTTCAGAATGTATATTTTTTATTTTGCTGTTCTACCTAAATTACTACAAAAGAGGATCCAATTTTGTATGTGAATAATGAATAACAATTTAAAAACTTACACAAATCAAACTAATCTTTTCAATACAATATCAGTTGAAACTTCATTTTTACTTCTCATTATTCAACCATAGCCAAGTGAATGACTATAATGTGAAAAAAAAAGTCAGTCAGCAATCAAAAATAAGAAATGTAACATATTCGGAAAGCAGAGAAACACTTGTAGCTGTAGTTAATTACACGATTTAAGCTTACACAATCTTTAAATTCATACAAAGACAATTATATATATAATATACTCATTTAAATGTTTAAAAGTATACCGAAAATAAAAATAAGAATAATCTCTGAGGACATTAATCAAATCAATATCCTTAGCATGTCATAGCAAGGAGGATTATAAAATGTTATAGTTTACTATAGAAATTAGCAAAAAATATTATCAAAAATATATGTTTTTAGTAACAGCATTAGTAAAAGGACCAATGAGTATAAAATGTGACACAGAATTACTCTAGAACCAATAATCATACAACTGAATAAAGAAAATATTCAGAATCAATAAACATGACACGGGTGAACATAATTATTAACAGTACTATACAACAAACATGTTACTAGACAATGAAAGTTTTTTTTTTATAAATGCACATATAATTAAGGCATAAAATAATTGCACACTTGAAAACTGTCAAAAAAGAAATCATTGCAAAATTATGACTAATCTGTTGCCTCACAGAAATGCAACTACAATAATGAGCACTTATTAATGCACAATAATTTCTACACTCAAAAAAGAAAGGGTGTCAAGATAAAGTCCAGTTGTACCTCTCTTGTGAACTGACTTGGAGGTTCTTTGTTTATCTAAAAACCAGAAACAGGCAATTAGTTTGTGGAAAAAAAATACTCTGAACACTACAAGTAAACACGTGTATTAAACATACTTTCTTCATCATCAGAGGAACAACAGTAAATCACTGACTGTTTGTTCTGAGAAAAAAAAAAGTGTCAATGGAATTAGTTGTGAATATATATGTTTACAATACAAATTATGAATCGAAACATGTAGTAATACCAACAATGAAAGTCTTTTCTATTTGAAAATAATAAACTAGAATGTTATACTTCCCGAAATTTCTTTAATTAATACCAGTGAAGAAATCACAGCCTACGGTTTATGAATTGTTTGTTGTTAAACATAAAGCTACACAATGGACAGGTATCAAAACTAAATTTTTTGTGTTGTAAGTCTAGATATTTACCATTGAACCACTGAGGGGGGAGGCCAATTTTTGATACAAATATTTCTGGATAATTGAAGGATGCAGATTTAAAAAAAAGGTTATAACTTGATATGGTTTAAAGCTTGTTTCACTATGTTATACAGAAAATTAAAAGCAATTAAGATAAAATCATACGAAAAATAAAATTCTTCTCACTAAACAGATTAGTATTTACGTATGGATAATAATGTCAAAAAACAACTATGTCGGGATTTAACTGGAATTTGTGAAATCATTTGCAAATTTAGCCGAATTTAAACACTTAAGTATAACACTGAACACAATGATAAACATGTTTAATGAACATTTAAACTCTTGAAGAACTTAGTTATTGCCTATTTCAATAACTAAATGTTTCAAGGGCGTAGTTTTGAACATGCTTTCGTTATCTATTTCCGTTTTCAAGAGCGCTACAAAGAAGGACATCTCAAGCATCGTACAGAAAACCATTATAAAAACTGGTTCATTCTGAATACTTCACCATTACAAGCAAACCATAATGAGTGAACTCAAATTATCAATCCATCATTTATTTAAGAATCACACCAAAACCAAACGTTCTGACAAAGATTGTACTATGTTGAGTAACCAACCAAGTTTATAGTGCTACATTACAAAAATCCCAATCAGCACCTGACATAAAGAAACAAAAATGGCACTAAATGTTTAACATATTTGTACAAGCACTCAAACTACCAAAGTTAATGATAATCTATCGAAAGTTACAAGTGTTGGTTTATAGTTATATATATACATATACATATATGTATGTATGTATTATGCCACACTGTGGAGGAATATACCGTATTTTTCGGAATATAAGACGCACCCTTATTTTGAAGACAAAGTTTTTGGGGAAAAAAAGCTACAGTCACATTTGAAAGATTTTTATTGAACAAAATTCAATTTCATACTTT